CCTTTTCTTTTCCCCTCCCTCCCTCTCTTCCTTCCCTTCTCCGTCTCTCCCTCTCCCCTCCTCTTCCCCTCTCTCCCTCTCTCTTCTTTCTCTCCTTCCTCCCCTTCAATCCCCTCTCTCTCCTTCATCCCCTTCAATCCCCTCTTTCCTTCTCTCCCCCTCTCCCCTCCCCTCTCCTTCTCTACCTCTTCTCCCTCTCACTCCCCCTCTCTCCCCTCACTCCCCTCTCTCCCTCTCCACTCCCCTCTTCTTGCCTTCCTTCCCCTCCTCACCTCGCCCTCCCGCCCGCAGAGACGGTCGACGTCGTTGGGCGTCGGGCTGCCTCCTCTCCGAGATGCTGACGGGGGAGCCTCTGTTCCCCGGCGAGAGTGACATCGATCAGCTGTTCCACATCATACAGACGTTGGGTGAGTAGGGTGTGGGTTTTCGCTTTTTTTTTTTTGTCTGTTTTGCGTTGTCTTTTGTCTAAGTAGGCTGGGTTTGGTTTTGTGTGTGTTGCTTTTTTTTCTTTTCTATCTCTGTTTATCTCTGTGTGTTCTGTCTGTCTGTTTCTCTCTCTTCCTCTCTCTCTCTGTTCTGTCTCTCTCTCTTCTCTCTCTCTCTCCTCTCTCTCTCTCTCTCTCTCTCTTCTCTCTCTCTCTCTCTTCTCTCTCTCTCTCATCTCTTCTCTCTCTCTCTCTTCTCTCTTCTCTTTTCTCTCTCTTTTCTCTCTCTCTCGTTCTCTCTCTCTCATCTTCTCTCTCTTCTCTCTCTCTCTCTCTCTGTCTCTCTCTTCTCTCTCTCTCTCTCTCTCTTCTCTCTCTCTCTCTCTCTCTCTCTCTCTCCTCTCTCTCTCTCTCTCTCTCTCTCTCTCCTCTCTCTCTCTCTCTCTCTCCTTCATTTACAGGACAACAATTTTTCTTTCTTGTTTTGCATTTTATTTCCTTCTTTGGGGTCAGTTGTTATTTTTTCGTAAACATAAAGATTCGTAAAATTTATGTATGCACAGGTCCTGAGATGCTGCCCCAGTTGTTTTGTTTATCTAAGAAAAAAAGAAAGTTTACAGAGCAAATATTTTGAGTCGAAAATATGTCACCTGATATTGCTATCATATTTATAAAGAAAGATTCAAATTTGGTTTAATCGCAGCCATCCACACTGAGCCATCTTAAATCACGTGACACGATGTAATTCACACGTCATTGCAGATCAGCTGGAAAAAAAAAGTTAAAAGCGAAAGAAAAAAATATAATTTACCATAACAATTTTCCCGATTAAGACTTCTTATCAATCTTATCAGGTGATCTTGTGACTGCAGGCTCTCTAGGTGATGATATAATAAGATAAGGTCAGGATTTTACACGTGGAGGTGTGTTTACGACGAATTAAGAGCGTGTGACCTGTCTTGACCTCATGACCTACAGGGGCACGCTTTGGTCCACGGCGATTACAGGTCGATTTTATTGTATGCAGTGACCTAAATTCCTCTCGTAATATTTTCGGCTTAAACTGCAACATTGCATCTCCATCTCACGGGAAATACGTTTAATATAAGCACCATTTTTGTGTATGTATATCCATATACATGTGAAACAATAGACCATGAACACACACCACGCACATACGTTTATAATATAGTATATATATATATATATATATATATATATAATATATATATATATATATATATTATATAGTATAATATACAAAATATATATTGTCTACACACGCACTTGTATGTGTATTATATTTATACATATAATATATATATATATTATATATTATATATATATATATATATATATATATATATATATATATATATATATATATTATATGATATAACTGAGCATATTGCCCCCAGATGGTAATCATAATCATCATTCATACTCTACGCATAACATCACACGATTACAATTTGCATCATAATCATGCGCTGTCTTCATCGAGACCACGCATATGACCCCTGCCTTTCCCAGCCAACGCGCGCCACCGCTCCCCTCACACCTCCCTCCCCTCGCCCCCCCTCCGCTCCCTCACCTCGCGCCTCCTTGCCCCTTCACCAACAGCCTCACCCCCTCCTCCTCTCAGCCCGTCCTTCCCTGCACCAACAACATCTCATCTGCACGTCCATCGCCTGCCCGCTGCACCCCCACCTCCTCACCTCCTGCCTCACCAACAGCATCTCATCTCACCCCTCCCTCCCCTCCCCCCGCAGGCGAGCTGAGCACCCGCACCGCCAGCTGGTGAGGCGGACCCCATGCTGGCCGGCTCGCGCTCCCCGCCGCCGCTCCACGCCCGCTGGCCGCCTCATTTCCCAACTGGGTCCGCCCGCGCCACGCCTTCGTCTCGCTCTGGCTGCTCGAGCCCGTGTCCCGCCCCTCGGCCCAGGAGCTCCTCAACCACGAGTTCTTCACCCACGACGGCTTCCCCGAGACCTTCCTGCCGGTGCTCCGTCAGAAGGTGCAGCAGGAGTTCAGCACCAACGTCCTGCTGGGGATGAGCGGCGGCGGGGGGCGGAGGGGCTCCAGCACGCCCGCCAGGAGGACCCAGGGGCGGAAAGGTGACCGGGGGCGGCTCCCCTGAGAGCGTCTACGGGCGGAGCATCGGCAGGGCGCCACAGCCGCCACCACGACGACCACAACGACCGCGAGAGCAGATAATACGACCATCCCCGCCAGGTGAGTCGTCTGGCTGTGGTCGTGTGAGGTTGACACGTACACAGCTTAGTGGAGCAAAGACACAGATGCACATGGACAAATGAAGGGAGAAAGAGAGAGAGAGAGAGAAAGGATGAGGTAGAGGAAGAGAGAGGAGAGAGAGAGAGAGGGAGGGAGGGAAGGGAGAGAGAAAAGAAGAGAGAGAGAGAGGACAGAGAGAGGGGGGAAGGGGAAGGGAGAAAGAAAGGAGGGAGAGAGAAGAAAGAGAGAGGGAGAAAGGAGATAGGGGCATAGACTTCAACAAATGGGTTAGTAGGGAATGGGAGGAAAGAGAAAAGGAGGGAATAGGAGGGAGAGGAAGAAGAGATTTAGAGAGGGATTGAGAAAGGGAGGAGAAAGAAGGAGAGAAAGGGCTGCAGATACACACGAAACGAATCAAAATAAAAGAAGAAGGAAAAGGGGGAATAAACAGGGAAGAAAGAGAGAGTGAGAGAGAGAGAGAGATAGAGAGGAGTTGAGAGAGAGACAGAGACAGGAGAGATAGAGAGAGAAATTAACCCAGTAATAGAATCAAATATCATTTTAAAGATCTTAAAACCAAGATTTTCAAATTGACTCGTGTCTCTCTCCTCTCTCCTCTCTCCTGGTCGTGTGTTCGTGTGTTGGTGTTTCTGGATGTGTGTTGTGTTGAGGGTGGCGGAGTGGTTGCCGTGTGAGGGATAATCAGTGATGCCGTGCGAATTAATTATCGACTCTCTTTCTCTCTCTCTTATCTCTGTTTATATATGATCTCCTCTTTCTCTTTCTCTTTCTCTTTCTCTTCTTCGCTCTCTTCCCCCCCCTCCTCCGCCCTCCCGCTCTTCCCTGTTCTCCCCTTCGCCTCCCACCCCCTCCCCCTCCCCCCCCGTTCTCTTGTCTGCTTCTCTCCACCCCTCTCTCTGCCTCCCCTGATCCCCCCCCCCCGCCTCCCCCCACCCCCCACCCCACCCCCCCCGCCCCATTTTCTTCTCTTCTGCCTTCTTTCTCTTTCTCCCTCTCCCCTCTTCTCTCTTTTCATCCTCTTCATGTTGTCTCTTTCCTGCTTCTCTTTTTTTTTTTCTCTTTTCCTCTTTCTTCTTTCTCTCTTTCTCTTTCGTCCTTTCTCTTTCTGCAATGCTCTCTCATCTCTTCGTCTCTCTCTCTCCTTCTTGTCTGTCATTCATCTCTCTCATCTCATCTCTCTCGTCTCTCTCTGCTCTCTCTCCTCTCCTCTGTCTATTTACTGTGCTATAAATCCGATTAATACAAAATTTTCGTAATAATATCAGAATCTAATCTGTCCTCTCTCTGCTATATATAACCTCGATATCGCCTTCGTCTGTCAGTCTGTCTGTCTGTTCTTCTCTCTCTCACTGCTCTTCAAATCATCTCTCTCTGCCTCTCTCTCGTCTAACTGCAAAAATAACTCTCTCATCTCTCCACCATCCACATCTCTTTCGTCTCTCCTCTCTTCTTCTTCTCCTCCTCTCTTTTATCAAACTC